AGTCAAAATACTTTTCTCAATAGTAGCGTGGCCAACCTGAAAGCGACGCATAGAATGTCACCAGGAAAATGTCACTTGGAAAACCGTGGATCATGAAGACCTGAATCATCATGACCTCTGCTGTCTCCTTAGCAGAGGGTAACTTAACAAGTCGAATGAAATGTGCATTTTATAAAAATGGTCAACCACCGTCAGGATGGTGGTGTTACTGTTATGATGGTGGTAGTCCGGTCACAAAGTCCACGGAGATGTGCGACCATGGCCTATAGGAACAGGCAGCGGGTGAAGCAAGCCCATTTGGGCCTGAGGCGAGGTCTTATTTCGGACACACACTGGACAGGCCGCCACATACTCAGATACTTGGCTGGCCACCAGAACCTTTTTCCGGCTGTCCAGAGTCGGCCAGTTGGCCACAGCACTGATCTTAGCCGGGTCCATATGTACGTAAGTATGTTTGCTGAGACGATGTAACCCAGGAAACTGACAGTGGCTGCATGAAACTCACATTTCTTGGCCTTGATGTACAGTTGATTCTCCAACAGCTTCGGGAAGGACTTGGCGAACATGAATGACATGAGTCTCATTATCTGGTGAGAAAAATCAGAATATCATCGAGAGACACAAACACACACTCAAAAACTCCCGCAGGTCAATGGCACAGTCAAAAGGTCGATGAGGAGGAACTGACATGGCTTTCGTCTTGTTGAAAGCTTCTTTAAACTCATGATAACATGAAGGTACTTTTGATAAGTCAGGGTAGTCAGAGTCGTTGCCAATGCTTTCAGTCCTCAGAACCTCTAAGTTATTGTTTACAGTTCACATTACATGAGTGTTCAGTTCTCTTCCCACCCCTTAATTTTGCTGGAGCACCAGTCAATGTGGGGATTATGTTTTTTAAGCCACGGAAAACCCAAAATCAGCAGATGCTGCGCTGAATCAAATAAATGAAATTTCATAACTACTGTGTGGTTTACTGTTACCTGTATGGGTCCAGTACAATGAGTAACTTTAAACCAGGGGTCCTCAAGCTACGGCCCGCGGGCCGCACTCGGCCCGCCTCCACATTTGACCCGGCCCCCTGAACAATACCAGAGACGGAAAAAAATGCTAGTATGACCTCACTTTGCCCCAGCACGTTTTTACCCTTATGGCCACCCATACCCCAGTAATAGAACGTGAACGTGACCCCCCAGAACGGAATAATGGCGAAAAGGTTGGGTAAGAGAAAAATTGATTCAGAATGCAGGGTATTTAACCCGCAGTGGACACACGATTATTTTTTTGTTCAATTCAAAGAAAAGGCTGTTTGTCTCGTCTGTCAAGAGACGGTGGCGGTATTCAAAGAATACAACCTGCGCCGACATTATGAATCCCATCACAAAGACAAGTATGCTAGCTTGCAAGGCCAAATGCGAGCAGAAAAAATCTCAAAGCTAAAAACTGGACTGGTAGCTCAGCAGACTACATTTGTACGGCAAACTCAGCTGAACCAAGCATCAGTTCGGGCCAGCTTCCGTGTTGCTCAGCTGATAGCAAGCTGTGGTAAACCTTTCACTGAAGGAGAGTTTGTCAAGAAATGTTTGAATGTTGTCGTGGAGGAGGTCTGTCCCGAGAAGAAAGATGTCTTTAATGCCGTGAGTCTGTCGGCAAGTACAATTACCAGACGCGTTGAAGAAATTGGGGGTAATGTGTATGCCCAGCTGCAGCAGAAGACTAAAGATTTTGACTTTTTTTCATTAGCACTGGATGAGAGCACGGACGTGCAGGACACCGCGGAGCTTCTTATTTTTATTCGTGGAGTTACCACAAACTTTGAGATGTGCGAGGAGCTGGCAGCTCTACAAAGCCTGAAAGGCACTACGACTGGGGAGGATATTTTCGACAAAGTATGTCAAACCATGCAACAGTTGGATCTGGACTGGGCAAAGCTTGCCAGCATCACGACTGACGGGGCCCCTAGTATGGTGGGCGCGTCTCGGGGTTTAATAGGACGCATGAACCGTGAGATGGAAGAACGGGGTCTCACCGCCCCGCTACAAGTCCACTGCCTGATTCACCAGCAAGCACTGTGCTGCAAAGTTCTGAAGTGGGAATCTGTCATGAATGTGGTTGTGTCTTGCATAAACTTCATCAGAGCAAACGGACTAAAACACAGGCAGTTCCAACAATTTCTGTCTGAACTAAAGTCTGCGTACGGAGATGTGCTGTACTACACAGAGATCCGATGGTTGAGCCACGGCAAAGTTTTGAGGCGCTTTTACGAGCTGCTACCTGAAATCAACGCCTTTCTTAAGTCAAAAGGCAAAACTGTCCCAGAGCTGATCGACACAGAATGGAAATGGGACCTCGCCTTTTTAACAGATGTGACAGAAATGCTGAACGGCCTTAACTTGCAGCTACAAGGGAAGGGGAAACTCATTTGCGACATGTATTCCCACATAAAAGCATTTGAGGTGAAACTAGCGCTGCTTGTTGGACAAGTGCAAAAACAAGACTTCACCCATCTCCCTGCTACTCGAAGCCTCTCAGCTGAGAAACCAGCGGTCCCGTTCCCAGGTGAAAAGTGTGTGGAAGCACTGGAAATGCTGAAGGCGGAGTTCGGTGTACGATTCCGTGAACTACATGTTCATGCAAAAGAAATCCGTCTTTTTCAGAACCCTTTTGTTGCCGACATCGATGAAGCCCAGCCTTCTTATCAGTTTGAGCTGGCCGAGTTACAGAACTGTGATGTTCTGAAAGACGCATTCAAGCCCAACAGTCTCATTGACTTCTATGCCGCCCTCCCAAACGAGACCTACCCCAACATAAGAAAGCACGCAATGAAGATGTCCACAGTTTTTGGGAGCACATATATCTGCGAGCAAACCTTTTCATGCATTAAACTCCTGAAAACTCCAACGAGATCAAGATTGACAGATGAACATTTGCATCAGTGTTTGAGACTGGCTGTGACTAGAATGGAACCGGACATTCAACTTCTCACCAGCCAGATGCAGGCCCACAATTCACACTGATGAACATACAGTACATAGGTAAGCTCACTTTTCTGACTTAAATTAGTCATTCTGAGTATGAACAAATATAATCATAATAAAATCTATTGAGATAAAATCCATCTCCACAACCATACTGGTATTGAAATGTATTGTGCTGTGTAGGTGCTGTATCACTTTCTTAGCCTGCTTGCTTTATGGTTTTCAGAGGGAAGTTGATGAGAGAGAGCCTACAGTGGTGTCTACTGGGCTAGCCTATGGAACCTACAAAACTGGATTATAAGGAAAGAACATAAGAACTTTGAGAGACATTTGAGATTCTGCTCTGACAAGTGAAGTTGAACTTTTACCTAGGATTGTGCACGGCACAGCATAACTTTCTTTCTGTGAAGAACCCAGAGAGGGTTATTTGATTTTTATTGATTTCATAAATAGTGTTATTAGCCTATATATTTTTTGCGTTATTTTATTCTGTGAAGAACCCAGAGAGGGTTCTTTGATCTCAGAAAGGGTTATTAATATTTGGATATGTGTGGTGCGCTGGAGTGTCAGCATGTTTTCTGGAAAACAATAAATGATTACATTTAGGGACCCCTGCGATTGTCACACTTTTTCTGTTAGAAACTGACCCTGGCCCCCCATCAAAGAAGGGAAAAGTTATGTGGCCCTCACTGGAAAAAGTTTGGGGACCCCTGCTTTAAACAATAATCGACCAAAGCACTTGCATTAACAGGATGTGACAGGAACAGTTTTAATCTGGTTCTGTCGGGCCAAGCCTCCTGAGTTAGAGTCTGATCATTTA